ATTTCATCTCAATACTTTGTTATATACACCTTTTGTTGGCAATGACAGAGGTCAAACTTTTTCTGTAAGTCTTCACAAGGTTTTCACATACTGTTGCTGGTATTTTGGCCCATTCCTCCATGCAGATCTCCTCTAGAGCAGTAATGTTTTGGGGCTGTCGCTGGGCAACACGGATTTTTAACTCCCTCCAAAGATTTTCTATGGGGTTGAGATCTGGGGACTGGCTAGGCCACTCCAGGACCTTGAAATGCTTCTTATGAAGCCACTCCTTCGTTGCCCGGGCGGTGTGTTTTGGATCATTGTCATGCTGAAAGACCCAGCCATGTTTCATCTTCAATGCCCTTGCTGATGGAAGGAGGTTTTCACTCAAAATCTCACGATACATGGCCCCATTCATTCTTTCGTTTACACGGATCAGTCGTTCTGGTCCCTTTGCAGAAAAACAGCCCCAAAGCATGATGTTTCCACCCCCATGCTTCACAGTAGGTATGGTGTTCTTTGGATGCAACTCAGCATTCTTTCTCCTCAAGTTGAGTTTTTACCAAAAAGTTCTATTTTGGTTTCATCTGACCATATGACATTCTCCCAATCCTCTTCTGGATCATCCAAATGCTCTCTAGCAAACTTCAGACGGGCCTGGACATGTACTGGCTTAAGCAGGGGGACACGTCTGTCACTGCAGGATTTGAGTCCCTGGCGGTGCAGTGTGTTACTGATGGTAGCCTTTGTTACTTTGGTCCCAGCTCTCTGCAGGTCATTCACTAGGTCCCCCCGTGTGGTTCTGGGATTTTTGCTCACAGTTCTTGTGATCATTTTGACCCCACGGGGTGAGATCTTGCGTAGAGCCCCAGATCGAGGGAGATTATTAGTGGTCTTGTATGTCTTCCATTTTCTAATAATTGCTCCCACAGTTGATTTCTTCACACCAAGCTGCTTACCTATTGTAGATTCAGTCTTCCCAGCCTGGTGCAGGTCTACAATTTTGTTTCTGGTGTTCTTTGACAGCTCTTTGGTCTTGGCCATGGTGGAGTTTGGAGTGTGACTGTTTGAGGTTGTGGACAGGTGTCTTTTATACTGATAATGAGTTCAAACAGATGCCATTAATACAGGTAACCAGTGGAGGACAGAGGAGCCTCTTAAAGAAGAAGTTACAGGTCTGTGAGAGCCAGAAATCTTGCTTGTTTGTAGGTGACCAAATACTTATTTTACCGAGGAATTTACCAATTAATTCTTTAAAAATCCTACAATGTGATTTTCTGGATTTTTTTTCTCATTTTGTCTCTCATAGTTGAGGTATACCTATGATGAAAATTACAGGCCTCTCTCATCTTTTTAAGTGGGAGAACTTGCACAATTGGTGGCTGACTAAATACTTTTTTGCCCCACTGTATATATATATACTGTATATCGGAGATCGCGCAGCTCACACATCCAGGAGAAAATAAACTTGTCAACGCTGCACCACAGCTTTTATTAATAACAGTGTGAATACTGAATCGCTACATTATATTTTCCAGCAACGAGAGGATAAAATAGCTGTTTTTGAAGTAAAATCACTCTAAAAAGAGAAACGCACAGACGTGCATACCCGCAACTTTCATCTGTCTCTCTCTCTCTCTTTCGAATTGGTAATATTTGAGAAAAGGGTTTAGTGATTTCTAATTATTTGGGGGACTAGCCCCCCTCAATGTCTACGGTGGTTAGACCTGATCAGACATGAATATATGTCTGTAATGATAAGACGTTAGTTAGCAAATATTAGCGATTTTTTGCAAACATTTCTTTGAGTAACATGACCATAAATATGAACTCACGATTAAATGTAACATAAAACAAATGATTACTTTTAGTTAAAATCTTTATTAATGCCAAAAATGCTTACATTTATGTGTCTTTTTGTTCGCTCGGGCAGCCATGTTGCTGCTGAAGCCGGTTTACACTGAGATAATTCATACCCCTTCATTTGAAGTGTGGTCCCGAAAAATCTTCGTTTGAAGGGCTGTCTGGCCCTTCCCCTACCCCTCTAACCAAAAGAGAATTGAGACACCCCTACCCCTTCACGTGAATGCGCGAAATGGAGGGGTAGGGGAAAGGGGTAGAATTGGGATTGGGCCTTAAACTACTTCAGTCTGTGTGCATTTAATTGATTTAATACACGAGTTTCACAATTTGAGTTGAATTACTGAAATAAATGAACTTTTCCACGACATTCTAATTTATTGAGATGCACCTGTATTTGATCCACAAGCAAAACATGACTTAGTACTTGGTGCAGAAACCCTTGTTGGCAAGCACAGAGGTAAGACGTGTCTTGTAGTTGGTCACCAGGTTTGCACACATCTCAGGAGGGATTTTGGTCCTTACAGATTCTCTCTAAATCCTTAAGGTTTCTTGGTTGTCATTTGGCAACTCTCTCAGCTCCCTCCACAGATTTTCTATAGGATTGAGGTCTGGAGACTGGCTAAGCCACTCCATGACCTTAATGTGCTTCTTCTTGAGCCACTCCTTTGTTGCCTTGGCGGTATGTTTCGGGTCATTGTCATGCTGGAAGACCCATCTTCCATATATATACAGTGGTGTGAAAAGGTTTTTGCCCATTCCTGTTTTTTACTTTTTTGCATATTTGTCACACTTAAAAAATTCAGATCATCAAACAAATTGTAATATTATACAAAGATAATGCAAGTAAATGCAAAATGCAGTTTTTAAATGATGATTTATTTTATTAAGGGAAAAAAGCTGTCCAAACCTGCCTGGCCCTACGTGAAAAAGTAATTGCCCCCCTAAAACTGGTTGTGCCATGCTTTGCAGCAACAACTGCAATCAAGTGTTTGCGATAACTGACAATGAGTCTTTCACATCGCTGTGGAGGAATTTTGGCCCACTCTTCTTTGCAGAATTGTTTTAATTCAGCCACATTGGAGGGTTTTCGAGCATGAATGGACTGTTGATTGTGGCAAGTGAGGCCTGCAGTTCTTTAGATGTTGTTCTGGGTTCTTTTATGACCTCTTGGATGAGTCGTCGTTGTGCTCTTAACTTAAATGATTTTAGCAAATGGCTGCAATATAACAAAGAGTGAAAAATTTAAGGGGGTCTGAATACTTTCCGTACCTACTGTATATAAATTCAGTGCTTAATTTGTAAATTGCGAGGTCCCGGAACAAAGTGGGGGGACGGATCCGGCATGATTAGAGGAGGGAGAGGTAACGGAGCATTCACGCAATGGAGGACCAGCTTACGTGATTAACAGTGTGCATCTTCTTACGGTCATTAAATTTTAAAACAGCCATTTCCAGGCCTGGAAAAGTTTTGGAAAAGTCATGGATTTTTTTCCTTAAATCTCTGTATAATAGAATTATGTTTAATCTGCTTTCGAGTTTTATAATGAGGGAAATTCCTGCAAACATATTCAAAAGAGCATGTAGGTTAGATCCACACATACTATCAGATTAAATCAGTCATTTGAAAACAGCATGAGTGATTCAGCTGTACTGCGTCTTCTCTCACTCTCAAAGCGGCTTCACAACAGTGCATCTCGTCTGCACTACTGCACGCTGCCATACAAGACTTTTGCTCGGGTTTTGGGACAGTTGACAGAATCGTCACTTGCCTAATCGAGTCATTGTTGCATCGTCACAAAACTGTATAATTTGCACATCTTTTTAAGTTTAAGCCATTCGATACTCGCGTGCTCCAAAGGGGGTTTACTATGCGCTCACAGTCACATCCATAGCGCACATATCGCGCCGCCTCGAGAGTACCAAATTTAGTTATTTTTCACAGCTTGTTGCCCTTACGCAGCCAAATAAACACAAAAAAATTACGTCAAAATGGCCGTCCTGGCGATTATCCTCGTAAGCACAGTCGGTTTTGTCTGAACTAAATGTAAACATCTGAGAAAGAAAACGCATGTGTATCAGTATTGGATCCGTGCATTCGGGTTTGTGAGAGCAGCCACGTCGCATCTCTTTGCACGCTCAAGTTTGTTGTTTCAAATGTAGATGCTAGGCAAGACTGCTCATAATAGAAGTTTTTTTCATTAAATATATGCACGCTATAGGTCAACACAAATGTCTTTCATTGGCGTGTGAGGAGGGGATCTGTCAAATGAGGTGCCGGATCAGATTTCGGACAAATTCGGAGGTGATCAGGATCCGGCTTGTTCCGGCACAAATTAAGCCCTGTATAAATCTAGAATTAAATGCAAAAGTAAAAAGCACTGAATAATGTGTTGCTTATATTTATTGTTTAAACATGTCTGTTAAAGATTGTATTACTGTACTGTGTAAAAAAAGAATTGCAATGCTGAAAAAGCATTTTCAGTGACAATGTTTGGATTTGAAATCAAAATAATGGATAAATGTTGTGTTTGTGGTAAACAGCCATGGATCAGTAGCGGACTCCTGTGTGAAAGCTGCTTCCCCTCACAAGAGTCACCTAAGAGGGGAATTCCCCCCATTTTCAAAAATGAAATTCAGGCCTGAATAAATGTCTGAAAATCCTGATTGGAGTATCACTATATATAGTTATAAATGATAAAAAGAAGGCTTTAAAAGATCGGTATCGGTGATCGTATCGGCAGATACTGCTTTCTGTGATCGGCGATCGGTGAACGGCCTCAAAAATCCTGATCGGAGCACCCCTAATATATATAATATATATATATATATATATATATCTGAAATGACAGTTATTAAAAAATATGACCAAACTAGGGTGTTTAGGTTGTCCTTTTTACTTCTTTCTTTATGTCCTACTAATTTCCTAGAGAATTTGATCAGGCATTTCTCTATTAATCTCAAATAATTAAACTCCTCATGTGTCAGTCACTCCTAGAGGTGTCACAAAATTTGACTGAAAGTCGAATGTTTCACATATATATAGCGGCATGTGCGTAAGATGCCACATAATGCTACTTCTGCCTCTCTGTCAGTTTGCAGTTGTTCTGTGATGAATTTCACACAATGTGGTCACAATATAATTTCACTACAGGAACACACCTGAGTGTTGGGAGTGGAGATGGCTGTGCATCTGGAGTTTGATCAGACGAGTCAGACACAACTTCATTCACGCTGCTCAGATCAATCTGCCTCCTTACATTCTGAACAGACAACACATTTACATAAATATCAAAATATAACGATGAAACCATGTACTACACATTACACAAATGCACAATGCATACATAACATCACTGATCTTACCTGCAGACTACCTACAGTGTCTCAACAATAACTGTAATTTGCACCTAAATAAGTCTGAATGTCATTGCATTAGATACAAAAGTTGTGTCTGAAGAAATAAGCACTTGTCAAGCAAAATGTTTGTGTGACGGGAGGGGCGGGGCCGAGAGCCGTGGGAACGGAGCGAGGCCCCGTCCCTCTCGTCACAGTTTGTTAATTCTGAAATGATCAAATAGACATAATGTTGAAAATGAAGAATGTTGAAACTGTATGTTATTGTGATGATCTACATCTCTGGTTGCTCTGCTAAGACTTGAGGAGAACCAACATAATACATCCACTAAAAATCACAGAAACACCATTCTCAGAAAAGTTATTAAATTATTCCTGAGAAATGTTCCTGTTGCATTTTGTCTGCAGATGACACTTGCTTATTGTTTTGCAGAGGCGGACAGTAACTAAGTACATTTACTTGAGTATTGTACTTAAGTACACTTTTTGAGTATCTGTACTTCACTTGAGTATTATTTTTTCTGGGAACTTATGACTTTAACTTCACTACATTTGAAAGACAAATATTGTACTTTTCACTCCACTACATTTCAGTTTTAAAGTAGATTTGATTTTTCTTTCTTTCTTATTACTCTGTATTTACAGGATTTCACGGTCCACTCTGTTCAAATGTGGATCTAATGCAATGGCATTCTGACCTTTTTAATTGTGACTTACATTGTCAAATACTTTTTGGGGCCACTGTATATGTATTTTATTTATATGAAATACCTGAGAGCCGTTAAACTTTTTTATTGATTTTCTCCTCTTGTTGCACTGCAAAACAAACAAACAAAAATCCAACATTACAACTGACTGACGTACATGCACGAACAGTAGCACATACACACTGACCAAATACAAAATAAACAAACATATACTGTACTTACCTCTTTCTTTACTCTTGCTATCGTTTGTGTGTTTCCATTCACAGATCTAGCTTGCCGGCATCCACTGAAAGACACGGGGAGAGAAGAAAATTGGTCAGGTTATGCTACCAAATGTTCCCACAAGCATGATAAAACCTGAAATTACCAATATTACGGGAAATAGCCAATGGTCATTTCGGCCAAAACTGGTAACATGAATGGTTTGTGTCAGGGTTATGCTTGCATCTTGGATATAGAAAATATTATGATCTCAGTATAAAAACAGTAAAAGGCAATGGAAGTCTGCTATGACAGCCAACACAACTGTAATTACACTTAAATCACAGTAATAACATTGTTCTTACCTTCTTCTGGCCATTATCTTCGTATGCAAGTAAGATTTAAGTTCTTATGTATTTTGCCTTCTTCAGAAGCAGATGGCCTATCATGGAAATATTATGCTGCATTATTTGAGTTCCTGATAAATCAGTTTCCGGGAAAACAATACAGCAAATGCACCGCCAGTGTTTGACAACCAAAATAACTTGCATTACGCTCAGGTCTAAAGTCACTTTATTAATAACCATACACATTTAAAACCAGTTTGATGTGTTTTATCTATCAATACTGCTGCGCGATAAATTACTCTCTGTCTGCATGGCACGCGCGAATTTAGTAAACATTTAATGCATTATAAATGCATGACACATACGTTTATAATTCTGAATGGAAAAGTCATGTTCATATTTTATGTGAGGTTATTTCCCAATTCAATACTGTGCTCCACAACTTTAGCCTGTTAGCATTGCCCATACAAGACGTAATTTAGCTAAATAGTATGTAAAGCTAACAGTAAATTAAATTAATGTTAGAACTAAACAAAGCTAGCGTGCAATTCTAAGTGCAATTATATAAATAAAAAATAAGTACTAAAGTCGGTGTATTCGACAGCTGCTGCACGACAACAAAACACATGCATTATATATTTAAATAAACATAACGAGTCTGTAAAAGCGGCATTGCACTTCTTACCGGAGCAAGTTGGTTTTCTGAGTCTCGCGCCGGCGCCAAGGCTCGTGAGCGCGCGCGCATGCGCTCCTGCGTGTGATCCTCGCGCACTTCTGTGCTCCACTTTTCCTGTTTGACTACATTTGTTATTTTAGGCCGTTTTTTCATAGGAACAAAAACACGTCGCTTATTTGCATATTCATAGCTATAATTAAATATCTATGAATATTTAGCTTCAGTATTTCAAACATCCATTTGAAAGAAAAGTTTAGACTTTCGATTTCCAGCCATGATATGTTTTACGCCCAAAGCGCTGTTTTTTATCACTCGGACTGAGAAAAATGAAGATAATATGCATCTGTTATTCTTTGAACGTACTCTAAACCTACATTTTTGTTAACGTTTCTTTCATATTAGGATTTCCTCCGCATTCTAATGCGTTTCCTGGAGCTCAGAATCGAGCTGACCAATGGGAGGAGCGCTCGTGCTGCCATGTGCGCCTCGTGAGAATGTAAACACACGTGTGTGGAGCTAATGCACTGGCTGCTTGACACGCAATACTTCAGTTTTAGTTTTAGTGCTGTCGAATGATTAATCACATCCAAAATAGGTAGTAGTAGTAGTAACTTTATTTATCCCCTTGGGGACATTTGGTTTCAGTGTCTTGTTTCTATACGCGGTTCTCACAAACGACAATACAACATAAATTTTACAATACAATTGAAAATCAATTAATCAAGAAGTGCTAATTACTGAATGAGACCTGCTCATTACATTAAAAAAAACTCTTTCTGTCCTATCTTTCATTTAAGAACTTCACTGCCTGTGTTATAAAATATTTTTTCCCTCTTTTAAAAAAACACCGGTATCCTGAATCTTCTACACTCTTAAAAATAAAGGTGCTTCACGATGCCATAGAAGAACCTTTTTTGTCTAGATGGTTCCATAAAGAACCTTTAGCATCTGAAGAACCTTTCTGTTTCACAAAAGCTTCTTTGTGGCGAAAGAAGGTTCTTCAGATTATAAAAAGCTAAGAAAGAGATGGTTCTTTGACTGAATGGTTCTTTGTGGAACCAAAAATGGTTCTTCTATGGCATCGCTTGAAGAACCTTTTGAAGCACCTTTATTTTTAAGAGTGGAAGGAAAGAGCTCAAACTCATTATACAGTGGGTGCCTATCATCAGATATAATTTTCATAGCTTTACCAAGACATCTAGTCTGATAAATTTATTGTAAACCCATCACAGGGATACCAAGTAATTTACTCGCAGTACTTATAACTTTCCTGAACATACTCTTTTGTTCCACCGTAACATTCCCAAACCAGCAAATAATACAAAAAGTCAGTACACTTTCAATAAAAGAGTTATAAAACACTTTTAACAATGGAGGGCTTACACTAAACGACACCATCTTCCTAAGGAAATATAGTATTTGCTGGCCCTTTTTGTTCACTGCATCAGTCCGTTTATCCCACCTCAGTTTGTGATCTAAAACAACTCCAAGGTATTTATACTCTTCTACCCTCTGAATCTGGTCCCCTTTAATAATGGTCGCACTCGTTGAGGACTCTTTCCTAAAATCAATACACATTTCTTTAGTTTTTGAAACATTTAACTTGAGATTTGATACATCACACCAAGAAACAAATTAAGTTAAAAAGGGTCCATGACTGTCCTCATCCCCTCTAAGGAGACTAACCAATGCAGAATCATCTGCAAATCTGATTAAATATCTCGCTGGGCAAGTACTCCTATACAATGATTTGTGTACATAATAAACAGTAAGGGTGAGAGGACACAACCTTGTGGGGAACCAATATTCGTGATTTGTTTGTCAGACAATGAGGCATACCACACACACCCGTTGAACTCTGTTACTTAAAAAATCCTGCTACCACAAAATCACTCCTCCATCTAGAGAGAAATCTACAGATAATCTTTCGACCAGAACAGATGGCACAATATTATTAAAAGCAGAAGAAAAAATCAGCAAAAATAATTTTCACATGATTTTTAGGACCCTCGAGATGTGAATAAACAGTATGTAACAATGTAAAAATAGCATCATCTACTCCCTTATTTGACTGATAAGCAAATTGAAAAGGATCCAGTAAATGCTGTGAAATAAGTTTTTGTTTACATAATATAGTATTTCTGTGTACTGTAGGCCTACATATTTATTATGTATTATGTATGTACATAAATACACACACATATACAGTTTATATATTGAAAATATGTATATACATATTCTTATATTTTTATATCATATAAAATATTTAATATATAAACATAACATATTTTTCTTAAAATGCCCCTATTATAGTAATGAAAGGTTCATATTTTGGTTTTGGGTGTTCCCAATAACAGGATGACATGCATGCAAGGTCAAAAAAACACTTTCCTTGTCTTATAATATGCATTTATTATTACCTTACGTGCTCAACGACTCCCAAACGATTCACTCAACAATTCATCTTTCCAAACTCCTCCTTTGCGTTACGCTAATCTGCGGTGATTGGTCAGATTGGTCTATTTTTCATTTCATCTCACCTGTAATGCCCGATAAAGCAGCGTTTGTGAGCGCAGTGCTGCTTCATGTACAGCGTTACCGGGGAAACCACTATTTCTACCGCTCCAGAAGCGGCACCTAGTGGCACAGAATTAATTTGCATTTTCATTCAGACCAATGCGAAAAGACCAACAAGTGGGCGGGCAATATGCTAATGTTTCATATTGACAACATAAAACAGCTTGGGATTCGTTTTAAAAACGACTCGTTTCAATGATTCAGAGTCGACTCTTTCTTTTGAGAGCCAATAACTTTATACACGGTGCACTTTCAGATTTAAAACTTTGCAGGATGTTTTCAGTCACTTGAATGAAATGTTACACACTGCATCAAAGGTCATTTTCAAAAATCCATAACAGGGCCACCTTAAATATATACATGCATCATGTGTTTGTATTTAAATATACATAATAAATATACACAGTAAACACACATATATTATATAAACAAAAACCTTTATTTTGGATGCGATTAATCGCAATTAATCGTTTGACAGCATTAA